GGAAGGTGTTTCAAGATTTAGTTTTAATTTCTCATCATCCTACTCTGATTTGACTGATAACAAATTAAGCTAGTTTCCCCAAGTCAAGTCTGTTTTGCCTGTGATGGTAACTGGTGAGTGATCTCTCCCTGCCCTTATCTCCACCCACGAGCCTTTCATTCTGATTTCTCTCCCCTGTCCAGCTGAGGAGGGCAGTGATAACAGCGGCTTTGGTGGGCACCTGCCCTCCAGCCAGGGTCAGCCCACTACAGTGGGAAAATACAGCCCCCCCCAAACATTAGCCATAGGAAGAAATGGAAGACCAAGGTTACACAATAGTTTCAAATCTCTGTTGATATATTTTGGTATGATCGTCCAATTTTTAATTACTTATTGGTAGCATAAACAATACACAAATCGTTTCAGACTTATCTATGGTACAAAAAAGTTATATTACGTAAAACATAGCCATAAAATCTAACAACTACCTTTTCCTTAGTCATTGCTACTGATCCATTCAAAACAATTTCTCTAGTGATTCTATTGTTTGCAGAACCAACTGAGATATTTTAATCCATATAGAAAAGGACAAATAAAAAAAGTTTATTTTTTAACGAAGTCCAATCCAAAATAGTTCAGTAGTGCTGAACAACTTCATTGACATGACACAAAGTGTAACTAGAACTACAGGCATACATTTGTGGTATTGCATTTTCCAGGAGGTACAATACTGTATTTGCTCAATCAAGTTGTGTGCACAAGAAAACCCAGCAAAAACAGACACCACCTCCAGTGCAAATAAAAGACGTTTATATAACTCTATTGCTTAAATATCCACTTTCTGTAGGATTGAATAGCAAGTCAATGAGTGATGCCACAAATATGAATTCAGCACTAACATCTGAAGCCACCAAACACAAAGATGCAAACCAAGGGGTTGAGTTTACACTGTCCCAAAAACCCCACCGCGCTTGTGAACTGACCTGCAAGCAGTGGCCTTAATGCATGAGGCTGCACGTCTGACTGGTACAGTAAGCATACCTCCCAATCTCCAGATTTCCTGTAAATTCACTGTTTAAGTTACATTAACATTCTCTCGTGGCCAGCACAGCTTGGAAATGCATGTTGCACCCCAAACACTGTATTTGACTGACGTACAGCTCTTGGTGTCCAACAAACCTGTCAGCCACGATCACCTACCACCCCAAAAACTTCCTCAAGTTTAATGAGTAACTAAGTTCAAATCTGAAATGAACCTACAAGCCAATTTACCATGTAGCTCTGTAAGACTCAGCAGAAACAAAAACCAAATGAACCCAAAGCATTACACTTCTGAGACCCAGCCTCTCCTGGAAGTTGCTCTGAAATACTGCATTGCTAAGATACCAAAGAGATTTTTGGTTGTCTTTATTTTGCAGAGTTGGGATCCAGATTTGGCAAAGACCGCGAAAGCTTGGGCAAAGAAATGCCTGTTTAAACATAACACATACCTCAAAGATCCAGGGCAGGCTCACCCCAAATTTACCCCCGTTGGAGAAAACCTCTGGACTGGCTCCCTTTCTATTTTTACTGTGCAACAAGCCATCACCTCTTGGTACGACGAGGTCAGTGCCTACAGTTATGCCACCAATAACTGCAGAGGAGCATGTGGCCACTACACACAGGTAGGCATTGCCTTTCTTCATCTAAACCATGAACTAGCATTGCCACTTTGACACAGAAACTCTAGATTTTCGTTGGAGATTCAATGAACCGTTTTCCAAGTGCTGTAGTTTTACTTTAGGTCTGTGTGCACAAGATGTTCTCATGTCCCTGTTTTAGGGAGGAAAAGAGTCACTGCATTATTATTTTAAACATGCCAGCTGTATTTTGTTTCCAGGAAGAAAACAGGACAGCCATCAAGCAGTCAGATTTAGCCAAGCAGAGGCCGAAAACCAGGCAGTGGCAATAGCTGTGGGCTGCAATGTATGGTGGGATGAGGTCCCAGCTCTGGCAGGCAGCCTCCGCATGCCAAGGGCTGGCAAAATACTGGCACATAAAGAGATGTCTGCAGCTCTGCAAGCATCACTTGCACATTTTTCCCAATTGCAATTCCCAAAGAAAGAGGGCAAGATGAGAGAGAGGAGTGCGACTGCCATGCAACCCCGTAATTGCTAATCACAGCTATGGGAGAGCAGGACAGCTTGCAATCGTGGCTCTGGGGATTAGATTCTGACCTGAGGCTACCTAGTGTTTTCTGCAGAGATATATATATGCATTTAGGACTTGAAGAGATGAGCTGAAGATGATGGGGGCTCTGAAGAACACGTGCAGGTACTTGTGTGCAAAGAAGGTATTTGTATGCAGGAGCTGTGAGAGGTGACAGCGTGTTGCTCTTTGACCTTGTTCACAAGCCAATGGCAAGAGTCAGCATCTAGAAACTGCAGTGAAACGCACCTTACGTGGCACTAAGGCACAGTGCTGTTTACCATGTTGTTTGCAGAGGACCAGCCCAGGCGGTTGCATGGGGGAGAATGAGAAAATAAGATTATTCTCACTCGGAGTCAGCAGCGATAGTGACTGTAGCTAGAAGCTGCGTGTCTGCCAGCTTTGGGAGGCATCCTTGAGTCTGCACCTCCAGCTTTGGGAGGCATCCTTGAGTCTGCACCTTCGGGGAATCCCTTGTTCCTCTCCCTCCTTTCCAGCTGTGGAGAACAGAAGTTTTCCCCACTTACAATTACTGCAGTTAACACAACCACGTTCCCAGCATATGCCTCAGCCAGTGGCCACCTGGGATGGGGAGGGTCCTGTGATTCAGTCCTTCACCGTCCTCAGGGATGCAGTTGTCTATAGCTGGCATCAGGAGCAGCCTCTGCTCTGTCGTTGCACTGAGAACACCCTCAGCAGCCTGAGGATTGGCCTCTCTTCCCAGAGCTGACACCAAACAGGCACAAACAGAAAGGGCCAGGCCTCCCCTTCAAGTCAGTGGAGGCACAAGTGTGTTTCTTCACCTCCTGTGCTGCCAAGATCTCTCCACATCTCTCACGTAGTCAATCATTGCTGCTGTTGTACTGCCCTTGGGTACCGCTGGGCCCTTGTCTCCCCTCTGCTCAGTCATGGGTTTTATTTTTCCAGGACTGCAGCATTTGGGTGCACTGTAATCTCTGAGCCAGATATAGGGTGCTGGAACAAACTGAATGGTGTCTGGTAGATAGAGGATCACTAGATGATGTAATGCCCTCTCCTCTACACTATCTTAGTCATGGCAGTGATGCTAAAAGGCAGGACCGCAGTGCAGACATGCTCCTTCTCCCTGCTCCGCCCATAACACCAGTGCCTTCAGGCAATTTGCCTATACGTCCCCACTGGATTTAGTAGAGGAGCAATCAGCCCTCCTAGGAGCTGTAGCAGATCACACAGCCTTTTCTGCTCAGATTTGATCTGACCTCCCCTAGCAGGAAAGACAGAAAGCTAATGGATTACCTTAAAGAAAGGAGATGAACTTCACCTTCTCCTTTGCAAGAAAGGAAAACTACCTGTTACAGCCAGTTATTCTTTCTTTCAGAGTCATTTTAACAAGTATCTGGTAAATTGGGCAAAACCAATCAGGTGTTTTTCAGAACAAACTGGGACTTTGAGATCCATCACTGCTGCTTTCCCCCATGAAGCCTGCCCAAGAAGTGCTCCTCAGCCAATTTGTCCTCCTCCAACAGAGGAGGACAGGTCTTCTCCGTAACACTTCGGATGCTGAAGCAAAGCCTTTGTCACTGGTGTACCTGTCTGTCTTTCCAGGTTGTTTGGGCTACAAGCTACAAGGTTGGCTGTGCTGTCCACTACTGTCCCAGGGTGGCATACTCCTCCATAACCAACGCAGCACACTTCATCTGCAACTACGGACCGGCGTAAGGTTTTTCATTACAAATATTTCACAGGGTTTGGGTCCTAACCCTTCCCTCCCACAACATGCCAATTTATTAGATCACTCCATCTATTCATGTGTTTTGTGGGAGGCAATAGCCCCCCAAATAGAGAAAGAGTTATACCTCTGTCCAACCAGCTTTTTTTTTTTTGCTAGATGAGGGCCATGTATCAGAGCCAAAAAGCAGTGGCACTGGTAGAAAGGGTAAAATATAAGATGCTGACATGAAAATATTGAAGTGATCATTTGAAAATTAATCCCTTGCTCCTGAGTGCCAAGGTGGCTCCAGACGGTTGCCAAAGTGCAAGCCCAAAGTCTGAAAATATTTCCACATGTGCCTGCAGAATGAAGTGTCCAGGTCAACGGTTTGGATAAATATTGAAGTGTGCCATGCTTGCAGCTGCAGTCTTAGCAGCTCAGTGCTACTTGTGAGGCAGGGGCTGCTCAAGGCAAAATTTTATCCAGAGGTCCTTCATATGCATAGTCAGTAGGATATCCAGTAGGATGGATGGTTTTTTACCCTTCTCCGGCTAATTAATGGCACCACAGCCTAAATACAGCTTCAAGAGCTTTACATGTATGCTGTGTTGGGGCAAGGCCAGGCCAGCCCATGAACTCGAGCAAGTTTGGCCTTCCTGCTGCCCTTGCTTCATCCTCGGAAGTATATGTACCCCGGACCAGATCCCCTGAAATGACACAGCTGCTGCTGTGCCAAACCAACAAAACCACTCTCCCCAGCAGCCCCACACCCAAATGGGCTGAGGGACCATTGCATCTGCCAGTTCTCGAGCCAAAAGCCACTGATCACCCAGGTCAGCCTCTCCTTTCCCTTCTCAGCACTAGCTATGCACCCCACCATGCTAGATGGTGCAGAAACCTTGTGCACAGGCAAGCAGGCCCCCAGCACTGCCGGGAGGTGTTCTCTGTCCCTCGAGCCTCCCAAAGATATGAGCTAAGCCTTCCTCCTTCTGCCCCTTAGCCAGTATCTGTGTCGGGCAGAGGACTGAAACCATGCTGGATTGCTTGTCCTCCGTTGGCAGGGACCTCATGGGGAAGAGGAACAGTGTCCTCACCCTCAACAGCACCCAGCAGAGCGGCAGGGTGCTCTCTAGGGAGGCAAGGGGCTCTAGAAAGGGCTTTAAAGCTGGGCCCTTCCCTGCTGGGTGACGACACTGCAAATGGGTAATTGCATGCCAAGAAGTGGGGTAATGTCACATCCAGCTGTTGTTTTTGAGAAGCAGCAACTTAAGTTCTTTATCTAATCCTTAACTATTTTCAATGCTGCCAAGGGCCAAAGCAAGATGTGTGCACAATTGCAATTCCTAAAGTGAATATACTCCAAAGAATATTCTTCAGCTTAGACCAAGCAACGAAAGCCTGAAAGTAATGACGTTTTACCATGAACTTTAGCACTGCTGAAATTGCATGCGTATAAAATCCCTCTCAGTGTGTTTATGGGCAGTTTTACTCACTCTGTAAATCTTGCTTTGGCCATGCTCCAAGCAAAGTGAAGCACTGAGCTGCGTTTGGTGCAGTATCAGAGGTGGGCAGGTAATATCAAGCCAAGAGCTTGGGCAGAAGTAGCTGGTGCCACTCATGCTGCTGGCAGAGGGAAGGAGCAAGGGGAAACACACATTGCTCCTGAAGTATTTACCAACAAATGGATAAAATCACTACCAACGAGAGATTCTCCAGCACCAGAGATTCCTCTTCAAAGTTGAATACGCATGTACATACACAGTAACTGAACCTGCTTTTGTTCCCATAGCAAGAGCCAGCTTTGAGAGTGCACAGTCTTCACACACACAAATTATCCAGCTTTGAGACTATTTTAATTCTGAGCTTTGCAACACTGCTGTCTCCAGGTTCCTAAACAACAGGGTGCTCCATTATACTTAACCTCTTCTGCTTCACTGCATGTCTTGGGCACAGGGCACTCAAGACAGGGACTGTCCAAAACCCACCTCTCTATCAACACAAGTGAAGCAAAACACAGGTTAAAAACTACTTAGCGGTAGGAATTAACATTCTCCCCAGGGCGGTTTGAGAGCAGTGTTACTTTCCTTCGCAGGGGGAATTACCCAGGGCGCCCGTACAAGACGGGAGCAGCGTGCAGCGACTGCGATGGCGAGCAGTGTGCCAGCCAGCTGTGTCGTAAGTAGACTACAAACAGCCCTCCTCTCCAAGCACACGTAGAAACGAAAAGAGCATACAAAAGATACTGGCAAGAGGCAGGCACAGTGCTCTCCTGTTCCTAAATATAGTCTGAAAAACCACAGTCAGAAGCCAAGTGCGCAGTGATGCACAAAGAGGGGGGAGGAGGGTGGAAAAAGCCCATTTTCTGCCCTGGGGAGTGACGGAATGGGATCTGCTCTTCAGGTGCTGGAAGGTACGATATGAGAAAGTGGCTGCAGTTTAAGGTGTTATTATGCCCGCCAGAAGTTACTGCTTCCAGAAATGGGAAGCACAGAAGGGAATACACATCCACTCCCGGGGGCTCTGGGTTATTAACTGGTGCATGAGCTGCAGCTTTAGCCAGTGCAGCTCCAAGCAAGCCTTGTCCCCACCATGCTGCCGCAGGAGGGGAGAGCTGCCACGGCACTGCCAGAGCTGCTTGCTCCAGTGCACATCAGTCAGGCCATCTGCTTTCCCCTAAGCACCGGGAGAGAGCCAGGCTGTCATGCGACAGCCCTTCACGGGGACACAGTGCTCAGCCTGAGTCCCTGGCAGCCCACCTGATTCTCCTGCACTTGGCTTTGCAACAGCTGGATGGAGTCAGGTGGGGAGGAGATCTCCTGGAGTTCCCGTAAGAAGGACAAGGCACTGTGCTGTGGACACCTGCCTGGGGGGAGCTGAGGGTATGGTCACACTTTTCCACAGCACTCAACCTCAGGTGAACTAATGGAGTGGGAAGGTAGCGTTAAAACACCAGCACTACAGGAACAAGAGGGAGTCCCTGACACACAGGGCTGTTTAATGTTAGCTACAGGCTGAGGATCTTAAACACAAGGCACTGGGCAAAAGCCAAAGTGATCGTGGGAAGCACACCTGGGGGAGCGAGTCCTCTCTATGCCAGCCACTGGTGGAAGAAGTCAACACAGTGTGATCAAGCATGCCCTGAGAGTCACTGCAGGGCTTTCCTGAAGCCAGCAGGTCTTCGCTTCTTCCTGAAAAGAAACACAGCTCCCACAGCCGTGTCTGTGAGCCCACCGTGAGGCTCACACTTCATTCCCTTTTGCTTAGACTAAAATTGTTTATAACATGTAAATCTGCTTACGTTCACTTCTTTTCTCTCTCCAGAAAATGCAGAGCGTGACAAAGTCATTAGTAAGTACCACCAGAATTACTGCTTCCATTTGTTGCCCTTGGTGCAGTTATACTTGAAAACAAGGAACTTGTTTTGTTGATAGGCGATTCCAGATGGCATCCAGAGTGGGACAGACCTGCATGTGACGAGTACTGCATCACCATTATTGCTTTAAGGCCGTTACTCCTTATACTGACAATTCTGGGCACCTGGCTCCTACCAAAACACTGGTCTGTAGCACCCACCAGTGAGTGACACACACTCAGAAGACCACAGGAACACTTAGTTCAACTCATCCCTTCCCCGCACATAGTTACTGGCAACACAAAGATCGGTAGAGACATTGTTTGCATCCACAGGTGATTTAGAAGTACAGAAACACCATCTTCCTTCCAGGCAGCAGCTAGGAGAGCTGATAAGCAGCTTTCTCATTGCTCAGAACCAGTACCTGGTTTTAAATTATCCATGTAGTTTTCCAAAGTGGAGCAGTATGAGCATGATCCGGTGGGTATGGGAGCACGCTGCCCAGGCAGCGCAGTGAGGCACAGGCAGCTACCCACCACACTTTCTCAGGAAGGGCTGGAGGGTGCCCAGCCCCGGAGCCTGGCCCCAGCCAAAGCACACACCTCTCTCCTATTGTGCCCTTTCCTTGGGACAATCCTCCAGCATGATGCAGAGTAGCCTGGAGAGGTTTTACATTTAAACATTTGTGGGGTTTTTTTTAAAGGATTTTTGGGCCCCTGTGAGCTCTGGCATTTGCATCCTGGGGCAGGCAGCACGTGTCCCAGTCTCACAGTGCACTGGGGCCACTGGTACTTCTCTTTGCTTAGAATTTGGTTTCAAACACACGTCATCTGTGCCAAGATATAGTTTCAGCTGTGCTTACACATGATTATGTAACACTGCAATATTTCCTGTTTCTTTTTTCCTTTTTTCTGAGTTTTTGACTGCTGTTTCAAACAATAAATCTTTATTTCCTGATTCCCATGTATAGCAGTCATGTATTTGCAACATGAGCTAAAGCTTAACTGCTGGTGCCCAAAAAACAACCCAGATTCAACTCCAACCTGCACAGTGTTGAAAAACACAATGCTGGGAAAGATGGCATAAAACTCCAAATAAAATCATGCTGTGCCTGTAGTTATGCCTTTGGTTCAACAGCTGCCAAGGGATGAGTCTCCTGGAACCTGCACATCTGGAGCAGGCAGAAAGCAGCGGGGACAGCTGCTGTGTTCAGCTGGGCATGTCCTCTACCAACTGCAGTTGCTCAGCTCGAGCAGAGGCTGGAAGGAGCAGAGCTGCACAAACTCACAGCCGGACCGTAGCGATCTGTGTCTATACAGAGGCAGGTTGAGATGCCTCTGCACCATGCCCCTCTGCAGGGCACAGACACACATGGCTGTAAAGGAAACCGGGAAGTTCCCCTTGCCACTTCATTTCTGGGGTACGGCCCCCGCAGTACCTGTCAGTGTTTCTGCATACCCACTCCCGAACCCACTCCTGGGGTGGATCTTAACTGAAAACACTGGAACTGGGACCCAAAGTTTCTCACGTTATTCTTCCAGGTAGTTAACTGCTTGCATTAGAATCATCTCAGCATCACAGCATTCCCTGAATAAATCTTTTTTCAAAATGCAAATACCACTGGGGACAAAATTACCAATTTTGCCTTTGATATAGCTTTATAGTTAGTTTATTGGCTACCAGAGCCTCCATAGGCAAGACATCACAGTCGTCGACAGGAGATGAGCAGCTTCTTTTCCACACTCCAGTGACCAGGGTCCCGGTACCCATGCTGGCCTACTTGTGAGACAGCCAAGCTCAGTTCTGTCTTCCAAACTGGTCAGATTAAGGTGTTTAAAAAAAAACAAACTTCCCATTGCAAAAGTAAGGCCAGGGGTTTATCTGTTAAAAAAAGCAGCTATTTTCCTCCTTGCTTGTCTTTTTGCCACTCTTTTGTGTAAGACCCAAGGCTCAAGCTCCATGTACTGCAAAGTCCCATCTGAAAGCGGGACGGCAAGCAGCCCACGGGCAGCCGGCGTTACTCTGTGTGCACTCTCTGGCACAGGGCTCCCACCCGAGCATGAGCATGAGCATAGAGCCCAGCACAGTGTCTGCCCCACTGAAGCCATGGGCAGTTAGATCCTACTACTGCAAAAGAAATGCAGGCAAGGGAAGAGTTGCTGTGTCCAGGGAGCGAAAGTGAGCTCAGCAGACTCCCCTGCTTAGTTTAATCTATGCTTGGTCTCCAGGACAGCAAACAGAACGAACACAGAGCCGTTAAAAGTTCAAAACATTCACAGCACTATCATTTAACTATATACTTCAGCAGCTCTAAGGAAATACCATAGAAAAAAATTCATTTAAAAACCTGTAAATCACTGGGGCTTAGGGGAAAAAAAATCCCAACCTTTAGGACATGGTACCTTTCCAACAAAAAAGCTGAAAGTCAAGAACGCAAAGCTAAACATGTACTGCATCTCATTTTAAGGACATCCAAAAATCCAGATATTTAACTGCGGATGATCAAACCACTTTAAGTTGTCCACATTTATCTTACAGCATACGCCCATGAATTCCATATGATAAACACAAACCACTGATACATAAATTCCACCTTCGGGTCCTTTTTTTTGCAAGTCTGTAAACTCTAAAATTAGCTTAAGGAGGTAATTTGCAATAGCTCAAGCTGTTCTGAAAATACCAAAAAAACTTTTTTACCTTTCCAAATCCACCATATTTTCTATTCTTTACTTCTTATACAAGTGTTAGAACTGTATAGCCATATTTTCTCAGAAAACAGGTGCAAAAAGCACCAACAGTGAACCCACGCAGCCAGTTACTGTCCAGATACGGACTCCTAAGCAGACCAATCCTTTGGTTTAACTTGCCTACACGGATATGAGTAAGCTTTCTTGGTTTTCCAGTTTAAGTAAATCAATGTCCAACCAACAATCCTTGAAACCTGTCAACCATAACAACTGAAAAAGATTAAACACAACGCAAAGCCTTTTCACCCCATAACAACGAAACAAGACTTTCTGAAGTCTGTTCAGAGTTTTACTAGGGATAGGGATTTGACGCAAAAGCTACATAGACGCCTCAGCTGTGGGTTCTAAATTAAAAAAGCACAGTTCCATGGAAGTACATATAATTTAAGGCCAGGCTGCCACCAAGCTGAGTTGTGTTTTCCTGCACTGCAACTCAGGTCACCAGGCAGTTAGCTGATGCAGCTGGAAAACACATTTTTGTAGGGTGCTTTCAGCTAGATTGGGTTCCTGAAATGAAACGCCAGCATGCAAGATGAGTGTAGAGCAACCAGCCCTACACTTATTTTTAATTTTTTAAACAACAAACAGGGGAACACCCGCGCCAGTCCTCTGCAGTGAAAGGGGCCTTGTCCAGTTCAGATTAGAATGAGACCCTCCCTCCCCTAATACACCCATGCTCCTTCCCTGGCTACAGTCAGCCTCCTCCTGACTGGCTTCTCACTCTGCAGACTCCTCTGCTGACTCCTCTGGTGAACCCCTCCTTTGTGGGGTCACACAGTCTCCTCTGCTGACTCCTCGGCTGAACCACTCATTTGTGGGATCACACTGTGACAACAGGCGTTTAAACTCCAGTATTGCAGTGCCTCCTGTTGGAATTTGTCCTTTCACTGTATGAGAGGGCTGAACTACCTGACTGGTACTGAACTTCCGTCTCCCCTTTACACCATCAACTGCTAAGCACCAGTTGGTGTTTCTAGAAAGCTTTTCGTAGTGCTGATATCACTAAACCCACCAGCTCACTACAGTTTCCAAGATGCGTGTTTGTGACTTACTGATGATATTCTCAGTGAAGTATCCAATGAAGTAGTATTTTCCTGATTGATTCCACAAGTAATTAAACTGCCATTTATGAACAATGCAGTCCCCAAAAGGATTGAGAGCATTTTTTCCTTAACAACTAAGTGCCAAGAAATGATCACATAACTGAAAGGCACACTAAGGCTAATGTTGTCCCCTACCCCAAAGGGCAAGCATCTTAGCCAGTATGTGTGCCTTGAGAAATAGCTATTTAACCACATATATCCTAAATTCTTATTTTTATATGTAAAAAAGGAAATGGCTGGTTTTGCTTACTAGTTTCAAATAAAAGGTAACTAACCTAAAAGCAGCAAGCTGCAATGTTCTACCGTAACAACTTCCACTGCATGTGCAGGTGATCAAAATTCCAAAACCTAGCAAAGGCAACACAATCATGATATTGGTGTGACTCTACCACCTCCTAATCATTGTATTTGCCTCTTTACTCTCAGATATGTGAAATGAGCAACATATGCTCTTCCGGTGAACTTTATTTCATCACAATTTGCATTTTCAGGAAACTAAAAACTGTTAAACTTCCTTTAAAAAAGTGGAAGGGTCTCAAAAAAAATTAAAAAAGAGAAATACAATTTCTTAACACTTTCTTGCAAGCAAGAATTAAAGAATACATTTAAAGAAAGATAAGAAGACTTTACACTTTCCCTGCAGCACATTCAGTGTGGAAAGACACTGGCTTTGTACCACATTGTAAGAGCCTCGAGGATAATGCTAATAAATGACAGTTTAATAATGGCATTCAGTTAAGATTATGGTTTGTCCAATTCTCACATGAAGCTGTGAGCTTGTTTCCTGGAAAATAACATGTAGGTTGTGTAGCAGAACACTAATTAAAGGATTTAAGAAGAATGTATTAAAATAGTTTATTAACATCAAGACAAGACACACAAAAATAATCAGCTTTTACAGAAACAAAAGCATAATATAGTAATAAGTCTTGCCCATTTTGCAAAAGTTATCACTACAACTGAGGCTGCACAGAGTCTGGTAGTCTTTCAGAGAAGAATTACCTTAAACTTCCGCCACGTTCTCTGACCCTAATGTTTAACATCCTGCATCAAACTCCTAAATGTTTCTATTAAGAAACCTTCCCTTTAGGCAGATGGACATTACCCAAATACACTCTCTTACTTGCTCAGTAAACATAGCAGCGCAGATTTTCTTCACCAACCTTGGCAACTCTGCACAGCTGCTTTAGGTCCACTAATTAAACTGTACTTATGAAAAGAGAATGATCATCCTACCTAGTCTTTTTTTGTCCAGATTATACTGACAGCAAGAAGTCTCAAATCTTCCAAGTGTGAAAACGTTCATTAACGTAGGAGGAAAGTGAGCATCTCGGGTAGTGAATTACTTCTTTTTCTTTTTTTTCTTTTCATCTGCTGCCATTTTTAACTTCACCTCTTCCGCAGGAAGTGCTCCTAATTTCTTCTTCTTTGCATTCTTTACCTTCTCCTTGATGGCTTCGATATCAATTTTTTTCTCAGTGGAGGCTACACAGAAAAAAATACAAAGACATCAGATATTAATTTTACTTTTACTAAACTTTTAACAGTCTACAAGATGACTGTATATACAAACACAGTAAACTGCATCCTGTGGCATTGGTTAGGACTCGTTTTATGTTCACTAATGATTTTATAAACTATTCTAATAATCATTTTTATTGAAACTAGTATTATCCAGAAACCTCTTTCAGCAGAATTCAAAGGAGAACAGTGACATAAAAATCCTATACAACTGCATTTGAACACAGATGTCACACTCTGCGCACAAAAGTAGTATTACCCACTCCTCAGACCACAGATGTACTCCTCTGAAATTAGTACATACACACTCTATTAGACATAGGCCTATTGGCTTGGTTGGTCTCACATAACAAGAGAAGAAATTACCGAGTTCTTACACCCAGGGAGGCTTTCCTGGTATTTTACCTTTCTGCAAGTAACTAAGGTTGACTGAACTGATCTCCTTCTATGACAATGTGACCCGCTTAGTGGATGAGGGAAAGACTGTGGATGTTGTTTATCTGGACTTTAGTAAGGCCTTTGACACCATTTCCCACAGCATTCTCCTGGAGGAACTGGCAGCTCATGGCTTGGATGGACGTACTCTTTGCTGGGTAAAAAACTGGCTGGATGGCCAGGCCCGAAGAGTGGTGGTGAATGGAGTTGGTGGCCGGTCACAAGTGGTGTTCCCCAGGGCTCAGTTTTGCAGCCAGTTTTGTTTAATATCTTTACTGATGATCTGGATGATGGGATCGAGTGCACCCTCAGTCAGTTTGCAGATGACGCCAAGTTAGGCGGGATTGTTGATCTGCTTGAGGGTAGGAAGGCCCTACAGAGGGATCTGGACAGGCTGGATCGATGGGCTGAGGTCAACTGTACGAGGTTCAACAAAGCCAAGTGCCAGGTACCGTACTTGGGTCAGAACAACCCCATGCAATGCTACAGGCTTGGGGAAGAGCAGCTGGAAAGCTGCCCGGCGCAAAAGGACCTGGAGATGTTGGTTGACAGCCGGCTGAACATAAGCCAGCAGTGTGCCCAGGTGGCCAAGAAGGCCAACAGCTTCCTGGCTTGTATCAGCAACAGTGTGGCCAGCAGGACCAGGGCAGTGATTGTCCCCCTGTACTCGGCACTGGTGAGGCCACACCTCGACTACTGTGTTCAGTTTTGGATCCCTCCCTACAAGAAAGACATTGAGGTGCTGGAGCAAGTCCAGAGAAGGGCAACGAAGGTGGTGAAGGGTCTGGAGCACAAGTCTGATGGGGAGGGGCTGAGGGAGCTGGAGTTGTTTAGCCTGGAGAAGAGGAGGCTGAGGGGAGACCTGATCACTCTCTACAACTACCTGAAAGGAGGGTGTAGCGAGGTGGGGGTCAGTCTCTTCTCCCAAGTAACAAGTGACAGGACAAGAGGAAGTAGCCTCACGTTGCACCAGGGGAGGTTTAGATTGGAAATTAGGAAAAATTTCTTCACCAAAAGGGTTGTCAAGCATTGGAACAGGTTGCCCAGGGAAGTGGTGGAGTCACCGTCCCTGTAGGTATTTTAAGACATGTAGATGTGGTGCTTAGGGACATGGTTTAGTGGTGGACTGGGCAGTGCTAGGTTAACAGCTGGACTTGATCTTAAAGGTCTTTTCCAACCTAAACAATTCTGTGATTCCAAGGTGGCAAGATCCCAAACATGCCTGTCCCATCCTTATACTCTCTCCCTGGCCATCCATTAACAGTCACTGTCAGAAACAAGACTGGGAAGGGTGTGCTGGAGGAATATGATACAGATCTTTGACCCCTGCATGAAGATCTTTATAAGAGACTTCTACAGGGAGTGCCAGCATACTTATGTTAAACACTTAATGCTGAGCAACATGAATAACCTACTCTTATGTTCATCTAGGTGATAATATTTTCTCTTTCGGGAATAAGTCATGAGTTTGGACCTAGCTCTCCTATCTCACACAGTTAATTCCTACATCTAACAGTGGGTCAAAACACACAGCAGCTAGAAAAGCACAGTATTTGAGAGACAGTACAGTCAATAGCAGGATCACTGAAAATTTATTGCCATCACACAAAAAAAAAAGTACTGTATCAATGCTGCAGAACACATGCTTCTCGAGAAATAAGAAATTGTGTAATATATACTATAACAATATGTAAGTAGTATAGCTAATACAAAACATACATAGTACATCTAATACTATTAATGCATATGTAGTATAACCAATGAATTCAGAAAACTGAAGACCTGTTTCTCTAGTGCATAAAAAAATCATCTGGGAACACAATTCCTTACTCTGCACATACTGTGGTTTTACTTAAATTTTTAGAAAGCTATTTACCCTATCTTACACCAGTACTTATTTGTGGCATAACTTTTCAAGTAGGTATTCCTTTTGGGTTTCTTCTTAACAGAGAAGCCATTTGAGTGCAGAAGTTACAGCAGCTTCACAAGACTGAAAGCCAAAAACTGATGTAGGCAGAACAATCAATTGAGATGGCCGACCCAGTATCTCCACCAGGAAAATGCTCCACAGAGAACTGTCATTCAATAGGTATAGAATTATGGGCTGCATGATCTTTCTACTGTCCCTGGCAACTCCAGGTGTGGATCTAACCACTAGCATTTTTTTGCATGACCTTTCTTATTTCCTACAGCTGTATCTCTGCAAAATCACTCAGCCTAGGAATCAACAGCAGAAGGTTTTAGAATTGGAAAAAAAAAATAGTTACCTTTCTTTGTTTTCACAACTGCCTTTTCTTTTGGTGGGATAAAAGCTTTATTTCTTTCTTCTTGTCTTTTCTTGATTGCATCTGCTTGCTTTGCCTGAAGTTACCAATAAAAAGGTCAAGTATCAGTAGAGCAGGACAAAAGTGACAAAAAAAATAATTTCCAAGTCAGCAAATGATTTTTAACTGAACGGTGGGTTAGAACAACTTTACCTTTATCTCTTCCACTCGCTTTCGTTTCTTCTGTCTGTCTTTCAAGAAGTATTCACCACTTGCCAATTCTTTATCAATCTGCGTAAGACAAGTACTGAGAAGCTTTAGATAATTATGCATTATAAGCCAGATGTATAGTATCAGGAAATTAGAACTTGACAGAGAAGGCCTTCCAACCTCTTGTTAGCAAGACCACGATTTCAAGTCATGCTATATTCCTGCATAACCAAATAAAGCTTCAGCTGACCTGGCTTTCTGGCTGCGGAGGTGGGAACGGTGTGTACTCCTTCTTAGTATTTTTCTTCTTTGGCTCCTTGCGTTTCTTCAAGTTCTTCCGCTTGAACTTTGGCAAAAATCTTTCCCAACTTTGTGACCTCAGTTCAGGGTCTTTTGATAATTCCCTTTTGATCATCAAAGTCTTCAGTGGTTTTAAAATGTCACAAATAAGTTATTAAAAAATAGTATCACAGTATTAATCAAGAGCTCCAAACTACAAGTTTTACTAAACTTTCTTACAGTGAATATGCTACATTCAAACTTTTCCCCCTCTCACTTCAGTAAGAGCAGAGGTGTCTAATTATCAACAGCAGAAGCAAAGATACATATGTCTCAAAACAGGGACAGAATGCACTGGAGAAGGTGCCTCAGTTTAAATAAGCAAGAATCACGTAAACAACTGAAGGGAGGAAAGTTTATACACACTTTTCCTCTGACATTTTCTCAGATACTGTTAATGACATTATGGCCATATACCCTGGTAAATGGACAATATCAAAGTCAAGGTTTTTTTTAAAGCAGCACACTACAGAAATTCTCAAAAATTACCACACAGAAACATGTAAATTATTAACCTACAATTCTCTGAGAAGAAATAGTACTTTCTTGTAAACAAAGATGCACAGTGGACCACGCTAACCTTAATGTTATATATGGGATGTATATTCTTCATTGTGTCCAGAACAACTTTTCTAACCTATATTTAACAAAAAAAGAACAGAAAACTCAGTAAGTTTTTCATATTCTAATCAATTAAAATACCAAGTATACTATCTTGCTTCCTCTCCCCGCCCCACCTCCCAAAGCAGGTAGATTAAAAAAGCTAATGCACATGGTCAACTGGAAGGCGCAGCACTTGAGAAATATCAATATTGTCATGTTTCTAATACACTCCAACGCACCCCACAAACATTACTTCCACATTACCAGGGATTTTATGGTGTCATGAGAAAACTGCTTTTGACAAGCATAATTCTCCTACATAGTTATTAAAAACATCAGGTGTTCCTTAAGGCTACATATAATTAACTCTGCAGTACTTTCACTCTTACACCTGTTGTCCAAAACTACAAATACTCTTGCTAAAAAAAATACAAACCCAAACCAGTATTTCACAAATACTTTTTTACTTCCAAGACAGAAAGGTCTCAGAGTCTAAACAAAATTCAGCAGCTAAGATGCTCAGACTATGGATATTCATCTACATGTACCTTACTAACACATAGCTGAAAAGTCAGTGAGATACTCCCGAGGTTGCCAGATTTTGCCTCTCGTCTGCTCTCGAGCTGGGCACAGCAGTACGTTATACAAACATCTCATCTGCCTCCCCTTACCTCTTTTAGCCCACTAAAGGGCCCAAGAGCTGAAACAGTGTTGCCTTGCACCATAATATAACAGTTTGTTAACAGTTCCAGGGCCTGCATAAGTGTGAACTGAAGACCTGACACAAATCTGGGTCTAAGAATTGTCTGGTTACTACACCTAAAGGAAATACCTTCAGAGTAGATCCTTTTGGCCCAAGAAGTCGTCCTCTTCTTTTTATAAAAGTGTCTCTCTTCCTCACCAGAGTGCCTATTTTAATGATGTCACATGCAACATCATCCTGAAGGATACGAACTGCCTAAAGAGACAAGAAGCAGGCAATAACATCTGAATGCAAATGTATTATTCAGAAGAGTCAACAGAATACTTCAGTTTATCCTTAGCACTTCGCTTTCTGATATATTTATTTCTAATATATATTATATTTTACTTGACCCACTTGAAAATCCCACATTTTGAAAACTCACTATTTTATAAGTGTTATGACAGAATTTCATACAAACTTCCAGGATGTAATACAGACCTGTTCAAATGGAACGCTTCTTGCCAGAAGTTTTATTAAATCTCTTGCCCTGATGATTGCATATGGATCAAAAGTCTTCTTAGTGGTAGTGACAGTCATGCTTCCTTCAATTAGATCCAGCGTTGCATTCACATACTGCAATATTTGAAAAGAAATTGTGAATCAATCTCTAAATAAGAGCCTCAGAACTCATCTTTGGTAGTAAGAAGTTAACAAACAGAATGCTACATACTGAATGCTGATCCATTTTCCAAAATTCCTTAAGTGACTTTCAGCTCAAGGAAATTCACACACACAGACACACACAAAAAGACTGAATGTATGTGTCATAAGGCCCAAAACACCACACTTCTCATCTCCCTGAATTCAGGCTCAACAAAGTTGTTGGTGTCTGGATGACAAGACACTTGGGGCTGCAGAGAGCTTTGCTGACAGCATCTGTAGTCTGGCTACACAGATCTTCACTGATTTTAATGTCAATAAAAAATGACGCTACCAATTCTAAATGCAAGCACAGTAGAAATACACACAAATACAGTTATCAGGAAAACAACTTGCACTATTTTCTATAAGCTTAAGTAAGACCTGTATCTCCCAAAAGATAAAACATAGCATAACAATTAGTAAGTATTCATACATGCTCACTCAAGGCTTTCTGGACAAGTGGCCAGCACTCTTTCAAGTACGCTTCTCTATACTTTGGGAATAACGTTGCAAAACTGCTTTCTTCCAGCAGTCCTTTCGGATTATCCTCTCTTGTAAAGGCTGGCTCTTTCCATCCATCTGGCACAGTGAGAAGCTCAGATTCATCAACTATTATAGGTATAAAAAAAAAAAAAGTTGTTTTAGTTGTTTTTTCCTCCTTTCATCAGTAACTATTACATCTTCTCCCCGTTTAACTACAAAAGATACAATAACTGAAAGCAGGGATACAAAGTTTTGTTTAATACTCTGTGGGGCGTGTTCTGCATCTCTTCTGACATCAAAGAAGGTACTGCTTTAAGCTATTTATTAAAGAAAAAAATCCACAACTGAGATATGCGTTGGGGATAGGATATTATACAAGAACAAGACATAGGCTGAGGCGAGCAACCACAGCAGTGTGAGGACAGACATACCACAACAACGCACCACTGCTGCGCACCCCTCGCACCCAACAGCCGCCTCTATCCTACCCAGGGCCGCAGGCCGGGAAGCAGCCTGCCTTCCCCACGCCGCCTCTCCGCTTACACGAAATCGTGACCAAGCTCCTCAGCCCCCGGCTGTTTTAGAAAACTGGAAGGGGCCCCCGGCGCCAGGACGAGGCAGGAGACCCGCGGTCAAGGAGGAGACCCTCAGCCCGCGGGCTTCCCGGATAGCTGGACCTGCACGGACGCTCACCCGGCCCCCACCTGTCGCCGCTTTCTTTTTGTTTTTTTGTTTTTCTTTTTGCTTCGGCCCAGCCTCAGCGGCCTCAGGAGGATCCGCCATATCTGCCCGCGCGCCGCCGCTGCTCACCCGGAGCCGGAAACGCGGCACGCCGGAAGGGGGCGGGAACGAGGGCCGGGGCGCGGTGCATGCCGGGAGCGATAGTCTTGGCGGGAGGCGGGCTTGAGGGGAGCGAGCGGGCGGGGTGGTAACGGGTCACGCTGAGTGGCCCGGACGCAGTTGAACGGTAGCTGCTAAAGCTTTAAGAGTGGCTTTACCGTTTATATTCAGAGCAGTACGCATTTTCCTACTGGGTTGTCCTTCCGTGGGAGCAAAAAATTGAAAATAAAGCTGGTACGAACAGGCAGGGATGCCTGCTGTGCCTCCCTGCGAGCGGCAGTGCTGGCCTCTGCTATGTGGGTCACGGTGAACCAGTGACCGGTGGGTCATGCACTCGGGCATCGGGTATTGCAGGCTGCATGGGAGACCGAAATATCTCCTTGCTGCCTGTGAACAAAGTAAATTCCCACAGCTCTCCATCAGGGTTACTTTATCTCAAGGTGTGTCTGTACCTGGTGACAGTGGCTGGTGTGGACACAACACAACCCGTCTCCA